CATACAGGACAAACTGATATCCCCAGAGTACACAGGTGCAGCATGGTTTCCAACACTGGTGCAGCTGCTGTCGGGCGAGCCATGGCAGCTCCTGTGGCACAGAGACACACTCTCCCAGCTGGACAGTGCAATTCAACAGTATCCCAACATACGGCAGCACCTGTGGGTTTGACCCCTGAATGAGACCAACTGGAGAGCCTAGGCTTGCCTCCAGTGGTCGTGCATACGATTCAGAGTGCGAGAGCCCCATCAGCAACGGCGTCTTATTTGGGGAAATGGCCTGTTTTTCAGCAGTGGTGCATGGAGAGAGGCATAGCCCCCATGCCATACCCAAGTGTTTATTTTCTTACAGACCCTGGTAGACAGAAACCTGGCTCTGTCTACTGTGAAAGCTTACACTGCGGCCATTTCGTTCTGCCATAAGGGTTTTGGTGATCTGTGTTTGCGCACCCACTGGTGAAACGCTTCCTGGGAGGAGTGGACAGACAACAGCCTGTGGTACGTTCAGACACACCACAGTGGGATCTGCCCCTGGTCTTATGTGCGCTCGGGGGACCCCCCTCGAGCCCATAGCACAGACCTCTCTCAAACACTTTTCGCTGAAAATGGCACTCCTCTTAGCCCTGACGTTGGCTAAATGTGTGGGTGATCTGTGCACGCTCTCGGTCTCATCAGTGTGTCTCTCTATTTGTGAAGACGGCAGCTCGGCCATTTTGAGACCGAACCCTGCGTACGCGCCAAAAATAATATCTTCTTTTCGATCCAGAGTCATCCCTCGGGATGGCTTCTTTCTTCCTCCACGTGGAGATGAGTCAGAAAAGCAACTCCATACCCTCTGTCCAGTGCGCGCACATGGCACCTATCAGACAAACACAGCAGTTTGTGCATTACAGAGAGCATTCTCTTGGGAAGCCCCTGACTAAACAGTGGCTGTCTCACTGGTTGTGTGAGGCCATCATACAAGTATATGCGTCAGCTTGGAGAGATCCCCCACCTGGCAACAAAGCTCACTCGCCAAGAGCTATTTCATCCTCCACAGCACTTTTTAGGGGGATGGCTGTGGAGGACATTTGCACAGCGGCCTCCTGGGCTTCCCCATGTCCCTTTACTCAGATCTATCTTCAGGACACATCCGAATTTTCACTGACTCACTCAGTTCTGAGTGTTATGCGTGATCGGGAGGCTCCCTCTGACGTGGAGCATGAGTACACACCTGCCACTGGGCACAAGCGCTGATACTACATGTGTGTTACTTGCCTGGGCGGCTAGCTGTTAACTAATGTAAACTCTCACTTGACTGTTCTGTCAATGCAAAGCTATGGATGTGTGTGTCCTTACTGCATGCACACACACTCCCTGTGTGCTCTCCTGTCCCCCGC